TATATAAATCTTAAATTTCGCGTTTACAAAACGCGAATACACTCAAAGACTTATCATCAAAATACACGTGGAGCTGAATGAGTGGATGAGTAGATTTTCTGGATATTTTCGCGCTTTCAAAACGCTAGAAAACATTTTTCGCGTTTTCAAAACGCTAAATTGTTATTCTCAAACCGCAATTTATTTAAAATTTAAAACTTATAGCTTTCGCCTTTTTAAAACGCGAAAATAATTTTTCGCGTTTCTGAAACGCTATATACTTTTTTCGTGTTTCCAAAACGCGAAAACTGATTCTCCTTTTTTAATTCAATTTCTTTTCTCCTTTCGTCCCGGTTGAATTTTTGGAAAACATGATTAAAATGATTCGCGTTTCACAAACGCAAATTGTTAATCTAATTTTCTTGTTTCGCATTTTCAAAGCGCGAAAACATTATATTTGTCCACAAAATAAACTCTACACATTTTTTGTTCCACACTTTTGGGTTTGACTCACCCAAAAGTCAAGCACTCCTAATTCCCCCCACCCGACCGCCGCCGCAGCCCTAATTTCCTCCGCTCTGCTTTTCCCCGCGGAAACCTTTTGCTCCAAAAAAAGAGAAGCTCCCCTTCTCGGGACGACGGATCCAGAACCTGTAAAACACAAAAAAAGGAACAAATCCATCACCGACTGAGAATTTGACGACACCGGAAATTATAATTAACGGACAATTAAAATTAAGATTGAAAAAGAAAACATACGCATCATACAACACAGCAACCACAGTTGCCGTCTTGACCGCATCCAGCCATGCTGCTACTGCCATTTTTTGCTTGCTGGTTTGTTTTGTTTGATTGACAAAATTCGATCTGAGTTTTTGTTTGGTGCTGTGTGGTAGAGAGAGATATAAAGAGAACAGAGAGAGCTTAGATGTGTATATAACTCTAAGTCGGTCGGTTTAAGAAACCCTAAGTCGGCGTACTTCAAACCCTTTTTTTCTTTTTTCTTTTTTTCCCTTTTATAACTCCTTTTGTCCTCCCAAAATAAATGCCATGTATTAATATTTGACTTAATTGTTATTAGTAGGAAGAGATAATGTCTTATGCTAGATATAATATATAGTCATCCGGTCCGAAATTAGAAAATCCAAAATAGTAATACGGGATGGAAGAGACGATCAATAATTAGAGTCGGTCGGTCGGTCTTTCTTCCACTGATTTTAACGGGACCAACTGAATATTAGACCTAATCTAAATTAAAGTAAGTTTTAAGAGCTTAGCTCGACAAACCAAGGTACGTAAACGTTGCTGAAAGGAACTTAGCCAAAAGAGTCATCGCATAAATATATTATTAATATGATCAAGCAATCTCCACATGTATTACAATCCGAATAACCATATGTGGTTAATTATGGGTTCATAATGCGATCAAAAGGTGTTCTTCACTTTTAACGCAGTGATACTAGACGCATCACATGATTGCAATTAAGAAATTCACAGGACAAAAACCTGTAACAAGGGACACAAATTTTCGCTCAATGTGGCTTATTCACGTTGCACACCGCCCTCCACATTCTCTCGTACATCAACAATAATCAAATAATCTATTCTCTCCGGTTCTTACTCATTATAAGTCATTTTCCAAGATTTCTCTTGGTCCTTTTATTATTAGTGGATTTTAGTGTTATTTATCGATCCCAACTTAATTAGCTATAAACTTTAATTTGATTGGTTCTTACAGATGTGGGGATATTTTTAACATGGTTAATACGAGTAGTTTCTCCTTTTTTTTTTAATGTAAAAACTAAGTAGTTTCTTTTTGTTTTTAAATTAGTAATTTATGTGTTGTACTCCCTCTATTCTAAAATAAGTGTCGTTTTAGCAAAATGAAGAAATTTCAAAATAAGTGACGATTTCGGATTCCAATACATTTTTTGTCAAGAATTTCCAAACATACCCTCAAAAGAAATAATATTATTGGTGAACTTTTATTTTAATGGGGCTGGTTGAAGATATTCTAGTAATTTAGCTACCATATTTAATGTTTTCTAAAATTGTCTGCAGACTCTAGAATGACACTTATTTTAGAACGGAGGGAGTAGTATTAAAGATCTAAAATAGTACTCCCTCCGTCCCATAATTATTGTCCAGTTTGGGTTTTTATTTCTAATTCAAATTGTACTATAAATGAAATCTCAAAATAAATAATAATTTTGGGACAGAAAGAGTATTACATTAATTAGAAGATTTCTACAAATGGGTCAAGTACATAGATCGTTGGAAAAAAAAAAAAAAAGAAGAGTGAACTCCCGAGTCTTGGAGAAGAAAGTTGACCCTTACAACCTACGGAAAGATCCGATGGGCTAAAAAGTTTTTTTTTTTTTTTTTAAAAAAAAGCCTAAAACTCGATGTCCAAAGTGCATTTTTTCATGCATAATATCGATGTCCAAACTCGATATTGCAATATATATATATATATTTATTTATTTTTATTTATGTATTTATTCCACTTGTTATAATTCATCAAACAAGTGGAATTTAACATGTGGAAACATGCCGTTTCTTCTGGTCTCATCCATTGGTTTTGCATTTTATCGTGTGTTTAGTAACTCTTGCCTTTTTTTCTAGACATAAAAAAGGAGCTTGAATAGTTTCCCTGCAGTTATTTCATTTTATATTACAAGGAGATCATAGGCTTCCTTTTGAAGAGTGGTTGCTTTATAAATATCCAGTCCTACAAAGGATCTGACGCATTGATGCTCTTTAAATTGTGTTTCTCATTCTACGACTTTTGAAGGAGTACTACCTCCGATCCTTAATATAAGACATTTTAATGGGTATTAGGTTTAATCTAGTACGTATTTTTAATTGAAAAAAAATCTTAAAAACATTTCATAACAATCAAGAAATTACAACGTATACGAAAATATATTTTAAAGATTTTTTCGTCAATTAAAAATGAGTACTAGATAAAACTTAAGAAAAAATCAAAATGCCTTTTATTAGGAACCGGAAGAAGTAAATCATAAGGAACATAGAATTGGGTTTAGCTGCTGCTTGCGGCAAGAAAGGAGCTGCAGATGATTTGGATCATCCTCAATGGTAGCTGGAATGGTAGATCATTTGCTCGGTTGCGATGGTGCATGCAGAAGATTTCATTTCAACTTGGGACGGAGCTATGGAAGCCGTACATAGACAGTGGCAAGGCTTAATTTAAAGAGGCTTCTAAATTACATCAAAATATCCAACAAAACTGAGGTGACAACTGGAGTTAATGTTAGTAGAAATCGCGCGTAATTAATGTTTGTGTTTGATCAGTTTGTAGAAAATGATTCTACCTCAAGGTCTGGTACATCATAAAATAATTTTATCTAGTGTTGAAATCAAAAGATAACCCCAAAACCCTAAACTTTCTTCGCCGCAGCGGCCAAAGTTATCCCTAATCCTCGCCGCCGTTCGCCGCACAGGTGCATCTTTTTCTTAAACTCTGGAACTCGGCATACGCAAGATCCTCCCTCTTCATAATCGAACCCTGTGAAAACAAAAGGAACATCTTACAACTAGGAAATTCTCTCATAATACCATATAATAATCAAATTATAACAAACCAACAAAAACAAAATTTGAAACCACATACGAGTTCAAGAAGAGACCGAGCGACAAGATCTTCACGCGAAATGAAAGTCTGAAATCATGAACGTCGAGAGCCAATATTTATATATCATTGGTTTGCTTGCGGACTTAAACTGCGGGCCTCCAACCCTCTCAATAATATTTTTGGCCAATCACAATTTTAGCCACAAGGAGTGGGGAAAAAAAAGTTATTGTAAATTGAATAATAATAATAATTCTATATACAGTAGTTACATCATATTTCTTCTTCAACTATGTCGAGAGTGGAGTTCTATCTGTTAAATAAAAACTACTTTATCTTTTTCTTTATTTTCTACCGACTATCCACAAAGAAATAAGCACTCTATGTCATACATTATCACTCCCACAAAAATAGTCAATTTCACGGACATGAATTAGGGAAGAACTCCTGCAAAATTTGGGTCAAATAGATCGTTGTTGAAACTTGAGCGTAAAACTCCCAGTTCAGGACGGGAAGAAAGTTGACTCTTTCAACCTACGTAAAGCTCCTCTTCCGATTGCCCAAAACTCGATTTCCAAAGTGCTTTTTGTGAGCTACTTTTTTTGCTCCAAAAGAAAAAGTGCTCAGATATTTTGACACACGATGACCACGTTGGATTGGAATATTTTCAATAGCCCCCCTCCAGTTACCAGTTTACAACGAAATGGCTCCATAAATTTCATCAGTCACGTTGATTAGCCCTTATGATTTATACATTACTCTTGTGATCTTTTCAACTTGTCTTCATCATTATTCCCCTTCTTCTAATTTTTCTTTTTTTGGGCTAAATTCGACTCGTCCTTCTTCGATTACAACAAACTAATGATTTATCTTCTCTTCTACCAGGTGAGTAAATACAATAAGTATCATTAGATCTACCTTCATTATTCTAACTTGTTGAAATTATAGAATCATTAGTTATAAACTTATAATTGTATTTATCTCATAATAAAAGATTAAAAAATTACTTTGCTCAAGTTATAAGTTAACTAAATCATTTTTCTGAGTACAGAGAATGAATCAAATTTTATATTTGAATAATTTTGTCTAATAGTAACTCAAATTGAGTAAATTAAAAGTACATTTGATCAACGAACTTTTTCAAAAAATTCAAATGCCGTAAACAATATGTAAACCTCATTGACTGACGTATAAAACAAATACAAATATCAAACGATGGTACCTATCATTTATATCACTAAATGCTTTATAGTCTACAGATATTTTTTTATCCAAGACAAGATTAAAAATGACAGTACTGCTAGCTATTAGAAAACAAACTTTACAAAGCCAAATGTAAAATTCGGAGAAAGAAGAAAGGCTAATATGCAAATAACGTACTTGGAAAGCGCAAAATTACCAAAAGAAATTGATACAAAAATCCATAACCATTAACCAATGCCCAGATATGTTCATGTGTATATATAATATCTGCCAACAAATTCCTTCATTTCTCTAAATCAAAAATCAATGCAAAAAAGATGTCCACCACCATTGTAACACCGCCATTTTTTCTTCACTGCTCCCTCAATAGCCGGAGAAACGCACATGTTGATGCATATTCCAAAAAGGCCACTTCTTTTTGCTTGAATTTCGCCGGGAGCCCATTTCCCGGTGGCCGGAAATTAACTCCGTCGTCATTGGCACTCAGAGCTCCGCCACTTCCCCGTAGACCGCTCACCCTCAGAGCTAGCACCTCCGCTGATACCGCCGTAGTTGAAACAGCTGATCAATCCAGCGACGTTTGTTTTAGGGAAACATTCTTGCTTAAACGACCCGTCAAAGTAAGTATCTTTGAAATTCTTCGCATTTGTTCTTGGATTATCGTTAGGATGTTATGAGTTTATTGGGTTCATTGATTAACTTTAACGAGTCGCGATCTCCTAAATGGCGCTTAATCATATTATGGAATTGGTGATATTTTGAGATGCTAGATTTTGATTTGTAATGATCCCGAGAAAGTGAACTTCTTCTTCCTCCCTCTTTGTGATTATCTCTTAGTTTCTGGTTTGACCTACGGTCTAGCGAAGGATAGAAGCAAGTTTAAAATGTGGGATACATTTGATGTGAGAAAGGATTTCAATTTATTGTGTACAAGTATGGAATGTTGAGCACAGGATAATTTTAGAACGTCATTGGAATTTTTTTTTCTGCCCTGTTTCTGTGAAGGGGAAGACCTAATTGGTCTTGGAAAGAAGCTATTAAACATGATGTTGTATTTAAATTTAAATGAAGATATGTGTGTCCGCTGAGCATAATGCTAAGATATGATCCATATAGCAGACCTCACATAAGCTGGATAAAGATTTGGTTTCATGTGGATAGTACTTATGTGATAATTCTTTGTTTTCATTTAGAAGATATCTTATTGAATATTGGATTGGCAGGTTGAGGGAAAGATAACAATCAGACTAGTAAATGGGACAGATGAAGAAAATTGGCAGCTTTCTGTGGGTTGTAGTCTACCAGGGAAGTGGGTTCTTCACTGGGGTGTTACTTACATAGGTGATGTTGGCAGGTCTGATTCTTCTGGTACTTTGCTGAATTCGATTCTTCTGGTACTTTGCTGAATGTTAGTTGATAGATTTTATGCAATGGATGCAAGCTATTCAGAAGTCTTTTCCATTTCCCTTCCTTTATTTTTTAATGGAGTAAAAGGAAAGGCTATATGTAAATGGTTTCTTCCATTTGTTCAATGAAGCATTATATGTAGGATGAACTCTGTGGTGTCCCAACTTTTCTTCCATTCTGAATCATTATAATTCTAAAGTTGACTGCTCTATGTTTTACATAATGCAGTGAGTGGGATCAGCCCCCTGTGGAGATGATTCCTGCTGGTTCCATAACCGTTAAGGTGCGTTGATTTCTTTAATATTTCTCTAGCTTAATCCACGCTCTTACATGTTTACTTTATATATGGATTTTTATTACAGGATTATGCCATTGAATCTCCTCTAAAAAAGTCCATGCTGACAGAAGGAGAAGATTTTTATGAGGTAACAATTGACTTCAACACTAAAAGCTCAATTGCAGCTATAAACTTTGTATTGAAGGTATGCTTTCTTACCTTTTGACAATTTATGATGTCAAAAAAGCTTCTTTATAGACATAGTGGATTTCCAATTTTTTGATTTGTGACTTAGAATCCCCTTTTTCCATATTGCAGGATGAAGACAGTGGATCTTGGTATCAGCATCGAGGAAGAGATTTCAAAGTGCCTTTGACTGAATTTGTTCGGGATGATGACAACGTTGTAGGAACCAAAACAGGCTTTGGTATATGGCCAGGTTATTTAACTACTCACCCTACATCAATTACAGCATCTGTCTGTTTTGTTCTACTTAAATGTTCTGTCCGACATGTTTCCTGTTTTTTCTTTTCTTCTGAAACACATCATTCATCGGTGATTGATTTGGTTGATCTTTGTCTTTACCTCCGAGCATTGGTAGGTGTCTGATGAAGTTGGCGCATTGATTATTATGATAGCATCTTATACTGAACCTAGATAGGAGTGGGACCTGGAACATTTGAAAATTTATATGTATGTTTCAATGATACCTTTTATTACAAACAAGTTGTGAAAGAATGTTTGAGCTTCCTTCTAGATTTGTTTTGTTTATTTTCAAAAGATAGTTGGTCCTCTGTATCAATCTGGGGCACTTTCCTGAATGAAATATGTTTTTCCTTTCATGTCAGGAGCTTTGGGACACCTGTCAAACATACTTCTGAAGTCCGAAGGTTCTGATATGCAGGAGGAAAATGGAAATAATGAAGTGAAAGCTGAAAAACTGCAAAATAGTTGCCTCGAAGGTTTTTATGAAGAACATTCTGTAGTCAAAGAAACTCTTGTTGATAATTCAGTTACCGTTTCTGTCAGGCAATGCCCAGAGACAGCCAAGAACATTGTGTCTTTGGAAACTGATTTACCGGGAGATGTAATTGTTCACTGGGGAGTCTGCAAGGGTGAGGGTAGAATGTGGGAGCTCCCGGAGAAGCCCTATCCATCTGAAACAGCATTATTCAAGAATAAGGCTTTGAGGACTCTGTTGAAGGTAAACATGCACTTTCTTTTGCTTAACTTTGTCAAAAGCATCATCATATGTCATTTTTCCATTTTAGCTATGGCGGTGAAGGTTGAAATATCTTCCTTGGTATCCTGATATAGGTTATCATGATCCTCTTTTGATGGCAATTTTTTCTAGTATTCTCTATTCAGTTAACATTGGGACGCTTCTGTATTGATTTGTTTGGGTATCAAGATATTCCTTTGCTTGACAATATACCCTACTTATTTATTTTTTTATTTTGCAGCGACATGAGGGTCAAAGTGGTTCTTCAGGATCATTTGCTTTGGATTTCGACCTCACAGGTTTTGTATTTGTGCTTAAGCTAGATGAAAATACATGGTTGAACTCGATGGGAAAAGACTTCTATGTTCCCCTTGCTGGTTATAGTGCAGCAAATAACCAGGATAGTGAGACCCGATCTGGTAATGTTTCTCAAAAAGATGAAACAATCACAGCATATACTGATGGAATCATCAATGAGATAAGAAACTTGGTAAATGGTATTTCCTCACAAAAAACTAAGACCTCAAAAAACATAGAAGTTCAAGAAAGCATTCTTCAAGAGATTGAGAAACTTGCAGCAGAAGCTTATAGCATTTTCAGAGCTTCTGTTCCATCTTTTACGGAAGATGTAGTATCAGATGTGAGGCCTCCGGTCAAAATATCTTCCGGGACTGGTTCCGGATTTGAAATTTTATGTCAAGGGTTCAACTGGGAGTCCCATAAATCTGGTAGATGGTACACAGAGCTTCATGAAAGAGCTGCAGAGTTATCTTCACTGGGTTTTACTGTTGTCTGGTTGCCTCCACCCACGGATTCTGTGTCACCTGAAGGGTACATGCCGAGAGATTTATACAATTTGAACTCCAGGTACTAGAAGATGAAGACAAAATGTCTTGACTCCATTGAAGTAAACAAACTCAGATTATGGATAAGACAGATTATCCAATGTTTTGATCATCTGTTTCTATGTTACAAGCACACTCACTCACACACACGTGCACAAACTAGGACAATACATATATGTCCTTTGTGTACCCTTGATTTGCCCAATTTTTGGATCTGCATTTGTTGCCATAAATATATGAAAATGGTCAGGTACGGAAATATTGATGAGTTGAAGTCTCTTGTGAAGAAATTCCATGAAGTTGGCATCAAAGTCCTTGGAGATGTTGTTCTGAACCATCGTTGCGCTCAGTTTAAAAATCAGAATGGTGTTTGGAATATCTTTGGAGGTCGATTGAACTGGGATGATCGAGCAGTTGTTGCTGATGATCCACATTTCCAGGTAGCCGTTTCTATGAAGTTTTCTTGGGGTGATAAGTTTTGATTTAGAACAGAGAAACTGAACTAAAACAGTTCAATATTGTCCTTTCTTCTGTAAGACAATTTCCACAGATTGATGACGAGATTCCTCTGTTGTATCTTTTTATTCCAAATCAGGGAAGAGGTAATAAAAGTAGTGGTGACAATTTCCATGCTGCACCAAACATTGATCATTCACAAGAATTTGTGAGAAAGGACATCAAAGAATGGCTGTGCTGGCTAAGGTTATTATCCGCTCTTTGTTCTGTCTTACAACTAGTGGACTAATATATCCTTGCTTTGCTTGTGTACTGTATATCTTAGAAGCTGAATGGACCATTGTATTGTGTCGATTCCTACTTATTACCGTTGTTGAGTTGGGACTTTGGCTATTCAGTTTTACTCCATATCATGTTTCTTATGTAATTCTATCTAAATGTGGTCATAAATCCTAGATTTCTTTGTTGCTTTATTGATTTTTAGGGATGAAATTGGATATGATGGGTGGAGGCTTGATTTTGTACGGGGTTTTTGGGGCGGTTATGTCAAGGACTACCTTGACGCAAGTGAACCCTACTTTGCTGTAGGAGAGTACTGGGACTCACTCAGTTATACCTACGGAGAAATGGATCACAATCAGGATGCACATAGACAGAGAATTGTTGATTGGATTAATGCCACCGGTGGAAGTGCTAGTGCATTTGATGTGACAACCAAAGGAGTGCTTCATGCAGTAAGTATCTAGTAGATCTTTGATTGCATCATTCACTTCCCAGCTTATACTTTCATTCATTCTTGATTTCAATGTTTAGGCACTTGAAAGATGTGAATACTGGCGATTATCAGACGATAAAGGCAAACCTCCTGGAGTAGTTGGTTGGTGGCCATCTCGTGCTATTACTTTTATAGAGAATCACGATACAGGTTCTACGCAGGTGAAAACAAATGCCCATTTTTATAAACTCGGGCTTTCAATTGGCAGAGAAGTACATAGGGAGTTTTATCTCCTTTTGCATGCCTGACTGAACAAGCAAACGTGATATAATATTTTTCCATAAGTGGCTTTCTTAGCGTGACCGATGGTCCATAAGTTGCATGGAGCATTTCTGTTTTATCTCATGCCAATTTTTTGGTTTGTCCGAGGATTAACTGTGGCATCAGTTTGTGGATAATTTTTTAAAAGAGAACATCTTGACATTGAAACTCAGATCCCATCATGATGGCATAACATTTTTAGTACATCTGACTTCTCTTTTATCCCCGTCACTAAATTTTTGTTTTATCATTGTGTTCAATAAGGGTCATTGGAGATTTCCAGGGGGAAAGGAAATGCAAGGATATGCTTACATCCTTACTCATCCTGGGACGCCGTCTGTGTTTTATGATCACATTGTTTCCGATTACCGGTCTGAAATATCTGCACTCATCTCCTTGAGAAACAGAAACAAGATTCACTGCCGAAGTACTGTAAGTCGTGGACCTACATTGTTTGCTGCTGATATATTTCGTGCAAATAAATAGATAGCTAAATTTCGATTTTGCATGAGGATAAATTTGGTTCATTTTCTTCTTCATTTTTCCCGGTTACAAATTTGATTTCTTTTTCTCTTATCCCGTCATGTCCTTCAGATACAAATAGCCAAAGCAGAAAGGGATGTCTATGCTGCAATTATTGATGACAAGGTGGCAATGAAAATTGGACCAGGTCACTACGAGCCCCAAACCGGGGCAAAATGGTCTTTAGCAATTGAGGGTAACAACTACAGAGTGTGGGAAACATCATGATAGCATACATGGTTGCTTTCTTTCATTCACATATAAAATGGAAAACGGTTGTATATGGAAGAACATTAGTCGTGTCGTCGAAAATAGTGTACAGAGATACACCTTGGCATACAAATTGGAGTAGATATGGAGCTACATTCTCTGAACTGAAGTACCACAACTGTGTTATCCCCCTAGTAGCATTTCCTTCAGAACTGAAAAGAGAGCAATTATATGGCACTCTGATTTTTACCACTCACCGCATACTGGTGGTCTGCGTTTACATAACAAATTGTATAGATCATGCTGTATCATAGTTTAATAAATCTACCAATATCTGCTCAGTCCAATATCATAATGTTCTGAGATAGATATGCTGTGAAGTAGAACATCATACTATGTTTAAGGAGAAGAGGCAGTTCAGCTGCATTATTTTTTGTATGGAAGAGACATCAAGTATGAAAGACCTTGTGGTCGATACCTTATTAACATCTCCAAGTCTTTGTTTGCAAAATTAGTCTTTGCCGACTCATTGGCGGAATTCCGAATGTCATTCTTCCCACAGCTATTGATTTGGTATAAAATCTCGTCGACTTTGGCTAAGAATGGGAAGGACTTACATATTGTTTTCATGGGAGCTTTCATGGTAAACAGGCCATACTTTGAAATGCTCTGCATTCTTTGGAGTACTTTAAGATGTAACGAAGGCAACACCAGAGAAACGCTTAGCTTCTACAAATATCGCGGCAACGCCACCAGTTCGGTTAACCTCAATAAACAGTTTAGGGGATGTATGACCTCAAAATTTTGTCCCCTATCTTTTTGGAAAGGTTAGTATTAACGTTGTTACCATATGCTCTCCGTTGAGAACTTTGAAATTTATAATAGTACAATATATTTCGAACTACAAACCAAATCAAGATGGATACGGCCAAATATTGAACCCAAATTAAGATGGGTTTGTTTATATTGTACTACTAGTGATAATTATGGGGATAGCTGTATAGTTTCATTTATAGAGAAATTAGAAATAATAGTGAAACCGAAGGCTCAATAAATACTAACCTATGTGACGGTTAGTGATACGCTTTTAAGTGAAAATTCTAATGATTCATAATACAATGCAAGTACCAAATATAGAGATACGTTGATTCAATGCGATAATTTTTATGTATTAACCTAAAAGAAAAGTTTTTGAATGGGACATCCAGGAGAGGCCTCCTGCAAATGATATTCCCAACCATAATTTGCAAACTCGTGATCCTGGATCGTAGGAACGGATCCTACGATCCCAGGTACCTAAATTGATCAAACTCGAATTTTGCAGTGGGATTGGAGTGGAATCGGTCAGGATCGTACAAGATCGGTCATGATCGTAAGATCGGTCCGAATTTACTATTCATCAATTACAAAAAATTAATTGAGTTTATTGAGATTTTTTTTTTTTTTGGTTCACATTCAATAGAGGCTAATATTCTTTGAAGAAACTTTTATTGTTAAGAAAATTGTATTTTAGAAAATTTTTCTAAAAATAATTGCAACTGCATAATCAAAACAATTAATTATATAACATGTATAATTAATTTTTACGATCCTACTATTTCGATCCGACCGATCCTATTTACGATTCGATCATGTGACCCCATTTCGATCCTACGTAGGATCACGATCCTGCAAACATTAATCCCAACACGAGCACACCGAAGGTAAGGATTTTTTATTTTTTATTTTTTATTTTTTATTTTTATGATTTTTTTAATTGGATGCCCCAATGCAGTAAGTTTGTGTATGTGCTTCTTGCATGAATCTTGTTCTTTGACTAAACTCCAGAAAACGTTTCATATATTTGGGCAAAAAATTATTTTCATCTTACATATTTCAAAACGATCATTTTCGTCCCATTCCGTCGAAAAAATGCGATTTTTTGACTATTTATGTCCCAAGTCAATTTTCTATCCATTTGACCGTCAAATACAGGGGTTTTTTCGTTTTTGAACCCGTCTTTTGATTTTCCAGTAATTAATGAATAAAATAATAATTAACATAATAATAAAATTGATTAAAAATTTTTAAATTTAAAAAAATCAAAAATAAAAATTTTGAACCTTTGATCGGGTGGGTCCCAGTAAGTTAATTTTTTTTATTATTTTCCACAGTATACCTTAAATATATTAAAATAATAATAAAATTTCAAATCCATTTACCTTATGTGATCCACTGCAAGATTTTTTTTATTGGTTCACCACAGTAGAACTTCTACCATTTTGGTCCTACATTTGAAGCCATAATTATTTCTGGTCCTAAATATTAGAAAACACAATTATTTCTGGTCACATTTTTTAATACTTGCTAAGAAGCGTTTGGCAAGATGTTTTTTAGCCAAAAAACAGAAAAGAAAATTAACACAATATTATAGTCCTTTCTCTCTTCCCTTCCAAGTTCCAACCCCTCCGCCTCCGGCCCATATCACGGTCCTATATCTACAGTTCAACGCCACCATTAGTCCATTACCACTCCAATGGCAACAGTAGCAGTAACACCCCATAGAAAGTTTCAAGATTAATTTACTATACAGATCTGGCTGACCTTTTTGGCATCTCTCACCCCTTCCAAGTTCTTTGTAGATCAAAGATAAGAGCCGGAAAATTTTCCAACGGGAGAATCGATTTGATTTTTGTGGATTTGGAGTGAATGTGTGATGAATCTATCTGTTCGTGGTGAGAGAATGGGGAATCCATAGAATAGGGAATCAAGAGAAGATGGAAGATACGGTAAAAGGTAGGATAAGAATTTTATTTTTGGTGTGATAAAAAATACAGTAAGTAAAATAAAACTAAAGATAATACTAAAAAAAAAAATTAAATTACTAGGCCCGGTAAAAGGTAGGATAAAAATTTTATTTTTGATTTTTTTGAAATTAAAAATATTTTTAATTAATTTTATTATTATTTACTTATTATCTTATTTCCTAATTACTGAAAAATGAGAAGACAGGTTCAAAGACAAAATTACCCTAGTATTTGACGGTCAAATGCACGGAAAATTGACTTGGGATGTAAATAGTCGAAAAATCACATTTTCTAGATGAAATAGGACGAAAATGATCATTTTGAAATATATGTGGCGAAAATAATTTTTTGTCCAAATATATTGGGACGTTTTCTGGGGTTTAGTCTTGTTGTTTTCAATCTAGCTTGGATCATACATTGTAATGTATACAGGACAATATTGAGCTTCACCAAGAAAGAAAATGAAAATTTTGATAAAGTTGGCAAATTGCCTGAGTTTGGTGGGAACAAAAAATAAACAGCATATTCGAGGCGATTTTCGATCATGAAATTCAAGACCATTCATCAATGGTAAAGCATCAACACATTGGTATCACGGGTATTCAGGGCCAGAGGCAAATAAATTAATTTTTTGGGCTGTAATAATGACAAAAAAAATGTAATAAGAATAAAAAAATAATATGACAGAAATAATTTGAACTAATCTAAATTCAAGTCTCTTGCAAGAGACAAATTTGTATCTTAAAAAGAAAAGCTACCAACAATGTGAAAGTCATTTGCACAAACTCTAGGATGAACAAGAACTTTGACAAAAGCTTTGACAAGATTAAGGTGTTGTTCATTTGTATCTAAAGCTTATACAATATCCCAATAACGCCATCCCTCAATGATATACTACTTGTTAAGAGCATGAAGAACATGAAAATTACAGCAGTTTCAAACCTATTGATCAAGCAGACCAAATATTTTGCTTTTTGCTTCAATAAAATAAAAGACATGTTACTACGTGTATACTATTACTAGAAAACTATTCGTTTCCGTACACAAAAATTGGACTTCTGACGTTATGAAGTCCATCAGACCATTCAAGATCAGCTGAAGCAAATACTCTCAATTCTTCACCTGTAACTGTCACCACAAATGACTTCGTTTCATGGGTTGCTTTGAAGAATAGGGTGTTTGGCACCACAGTAACGTCCAAGCCTCGAGAATTCTTGGTGATTTTGGCTTTGTAAGTTGCATTTGGCATACCAACATTGGTGACATTTCTTGAAAATGTAACTTTGAAAGATCTGTCACTCTGAACTTGAGCAGACAATGACGGGTAATTTAGATCCTTGGTTTCGATAGGAACCACTCCCTTGCAGGTGACATTAAACCCGTATACCTTTAACACTTCTCGTGCGGTGTTCAATCCGCAAATCCAGTTGAGGTAGTCGCTTTCTAATGTCTCGTAAACTAGTCCAGGGTGTGCAGCTTTTGTTGGATTGAGATGACCTGCGCCATAAGCAAATTCTGCTTCTGTTGCGATATTGGGACTGCTGGCATTCATCTTCCAAGCAGTGGTCATAAGAGCGGATTTGATCGCAGAAGGAGACCAACGAGGGTGTACTGACTTCACGTAGGCAGCTGCGCCGGTGACATGAGGGCAAGACATTGATGTTCCTGATATTATATTGTAATCCACGGATCGTTGATCAAACAGAGGAGCGCCAGAAGGGGAAGAAACCGTCGACCAGGCGGCCAAGATGTCAACTCCCGGGGCGGTTATATCTGGCTGCAGTTTTTGCAATGTATAATAACGTTACTTACAATGGAGTAAAAGCGTTTACCAAGTAAAATCAAACTGCGAAAAAGAGTGGATTTTCAAGTACCTTAAGCAGGTCTGGAAAAATCAGATTAGGCCCTCTTGAAGAGAATGTAGCAACCTTGGGAGCAGTAGCATCTTTTATAGCTACACTTGTTAATAAGTTCGCTGTGGGAAACCTGTTAGAAAAAGGTGACAATTTGGTAGGAATCGATGTGAACAATGAGTCAGTCTTTACTGAGTGAAAATCAATGAATAATAATAATTCAGTGTGAGATATCGTGTCACACTCACCTAGTGGAATTGATGTAGGATATCACCTGTGTAAGCTGCTGAGGAGTAACAAGGGAATAAGGATAAAACGTAACGAAGGCAACACCAGAGAAACGCTCCGCTTCTACAAATATCGCGGCAACGCCACCAGTTCGGTTAACCTCAATAGCTGCATTTTGGATATCATCAGTGTTGCAAACTACTATCTTTCCCCTGACGAGATCTCTGTCTAGACAACCATCAACGCACTGCCTGCAAACAAAAGGAGATCATTTTTTTGGTTCATACGAGGATGTAAGAATGACAGTCGTGGCCTAATGAAAACATGGGTGAAACTTTACTCTGCATCAGTGGCTGAACAAGACGAGGAAGCTTTGCTTCCGTAAACAAGAGGGAATCGTGTCCCTTTCAACTTGAAAGCATTGATTGCATTGCCCTGTAACAAAAAAAAAACAAAAAGAGAATCAGACTACATAAAAAGAATTACAGTAATTTTATCAACTGGAAGGTAAAAGGATGTGAATTATACATACATATATTGTTTTTCCATTTCCAAGGTTGATTGGAGCGACAAATCTACGAGTTATAGAGCTAGCAGCCACAGAGAATGACCAAGGAGCAATACTCGAAACTCTTCCTGGCGAATCCCCATTGTTTCCTGCGGATTGAACAGTGAGAATACCTTTTCTCAAAGCATGAAAAGAACCAATGGCAATAGTATCTGATGTGATATCAGCTGCAGAATCTGATCCAAGGGACAATGTGAGAATATCGACTCCATCGGCTATAGCATCATCAAAAGCGGCCATTATTCCATCATCTGTGCACCCACTTTCTCCGCATACTCTGTAAGCAGCGATTCTCGCCGAGGGAACGGCTCCTCTGGCAGTGCCATTTCCGATACCGAAAAAAGTAGCTCCTCGTACAATGCTTCCTGCTGCTGTAGAGGCAGTATGAGTGCCATGACCCTCTACATCTCTCGCAGAGTCTTCTCCAGGGACATAGTTACGAGCTCCGATTAACTTTCTGCATTTGCAATTTAACAACAAAGAGCAATTTTTTTGTGAATGGATTTCCCTTATATTCAGTCAAATTTCTTTAACTATATAGCTATGGTTCAGAGAAAATTTACTTGTTGCAAGTGAAATTAGTGCCACCTTCACAAGCACCCTTCCATTTCTTGGGTACAGGTCCAAGACCAGTGTCGTCGAAACTTTTGGATTCCGGCCAAATTCCGCTGTCAATGACTCCAATAACAATGTCAGTTTCGACATTAAGGTTACGAGAGACATTTTGGGAAAAATTCATGAAGTCCCATGATGCAGTTGTGTGAAGATGGCGCTTTTGACTTGGAAAAATCAGTACTACATCATCACGCCCTGCAATCTTTTGTTGCTCCCGGTTCGTGAGTTTTGCAGCAAATCCATTGAAACTTCTCTTGTAGCTTCTAACCAAGGATTGTTCCACAAACCTTTGACCAAACAAATAATTGGATCAAGTCATGATGAGTTCCAAGAAGAACATTGAAAATAATGAATGATGAAGAAGTATAACTAGATTATACCTGCTGTCAACAACTTCTTCAAGTATACTGAGATGGTGTGTTGATGGTGAATATTCCCCTGCAGGAAGTGATCCCATGTACACTATATAAACCTGCATCCAATTAACACCCCCCGAAAAAAAAATTAAGAAATCAATTTTACCAATATCGTATTATAACAACAGAGTTACATGGTTTTTGAATGCATATATTATGAATTTATACAATTAAGTTGGAAAGAAGTGCTAATGAATTTATATAATGCAAGCAATGAATTCATTAACAATTGAACAAGAATGCAAAAGAAATTGGCTTGCCTTCCTTTCGTCATCCAAAACAGCAGAGATTCCATTTACACCAATGACATATATGACCAGAAGAACATACAAAATTCTAAGAGACTGGAGAAATGATTTAGCCATTTGTTGAATGCGTAAGATTAATTTTTGTGTTATGAACTTCGGACAAAGGACAATCACAATTTATAAAGGAATAATTCACAGGACTTTTTTTGGTGTTATCCATCTCCCTTAGATGATGTCTCAATTTGTGGCGATTTAAAGACTTTCCTAAGTATTCCTTAACAGATGATGAATCAGGACAGCCTCACCATCCGTATAACTCTAATATACAGTGAATATTTAAGCATTAATTCCCAATATTACAACATTTTTACTTTGGTAACCAAATTAACAGCCAATGATGGATAAGTTTTTTTTAAAAAAGGGGTCCAAATTAAACTCTGTAATTTGCTTCAGAAGACGCACCCATTGGAATTTTGTGAGAAGGCTTAAAGCAATTAATTAGCCATAATTACATATTTCACATTAATGCCAATTGATTCATTACCCTTTTTTCACTTGCTTTCCATTATTCACACGACTGAAATGTCGGGATTTGTCCCAGACAACTGGAAATTTTTATGTGTAAGCAGTAAATGAATCAGATTTTCGCCTACTATCAATATAAAATTTTTCCTCGGGCCAGAATATTGTTCATATGCATTCATCAACATTCCAAAGAATTTGTCACTTTTGGACCTCAAAAGGAAGTTGCTTGATTAAATTCTAATTGTTCTCCCAGTCAGGTCCTTTTTTTCAAAATCCTTTTAATGTTTTTAATAATATCCAATAAATCAATTTTTTTTAAAAAAAATAAAGAACTGCTCAATGTTTACAAGTTTCAATCACTTGCCATCTATCCAACTATCAAAAGAATTTTTCAATTTTACAAATCTATCAGAATAAAGGAGATTTATAAATTTTATCTTTTTTAAATGATTTACTCCAAAATTACCAAAATGTTTCTTGCTATATTCATTTGAAACTATAAGTTTCAGATGTTATTACATGGCACCAAAACTTAGATATTATTTTCTTATTAGCTTTCATTAAACCATTAATGGTCAACTTTTTGCACTTGAGGTGCACGTGAATTGACCGAACGGTATGGCATCCAAAAATATTGAGCCGCCCTATATGTAAACTATGTAATAGTAGTACAATTGAACATTATCATTAGTATATAATAGGGGGGGAAAAGCACAATTTCCAATTCTCGCTATTCTGAACTATAACCGAACCCTGAGATGTGACAACAGTGAGAATACCTTTTCTCAAAGCATGAAAAAAACCAATGGCAATAGTATCTGATGTGATATCAGCTGCAGAATGTGATGCAAGGGACAATGTCAGAATATTGACTCCATCGGCTATAGCATCATCAAAAGCGACCATTATTTCATCATCTGTGCATCCACTTTCTCCGCATACCTTGTAAGCAGCGACTCGCCGAGGGAACGGCTCCTCTGGCAGTATCATTTCCGATACCCAAAAAAACTAGCTCCTCGTACAATGCTTCCTGCTGTTGTAGAGGCAGTATGAGTGCCTTGACCCTCAGTAAATTATCTTCTTATTTGATCAGCAAGGCCAATAATGTAGTACTAATATTGAGATCAATTCAGATACCAGCAATCTTTTGTTGCTCCTGGTTTGTGAGTTTTGCAGCAAATCCATTGAAACTTCTCTTGAAGCTTCTAACTAAGGATTTCTCCGCAAACCTTTTTTATCAAACAAATCAAATACAATAAGAACTTAGAAAACATTGGAAAAATTAAGAAAATGTACTTGCATGCATTCGTATACCTGCTATCAACAACTTGTCGAAGTATACTGAGATGATTTGTTGATGCTGAATATGCTGCGTCATCCGGAATGGATCCCATGTAGACTATGTAAACCTGCATCCATTCAAAACACACAGAAAAAAAGTTTTGATCAATTATATATTAACATTAAACACATTAGAAAGCTATTTTGATCAATGAAGATTAAATATAGATGTCTTGCCTTTCTGTCTTCATTCTTCAACTCAGAGCTTCCATTGAAGCTAAGGAAATGGACAAAAAGGATGTAGAAAACACGAAGACACAGAAATACTCTGGCCATATTGTATCTTTTTAGTAGTATTCTCACACACTCTATGGATTATGAATTTGGCCAATAACTATCACGATTTATAGATCATTATTTAATTACTAGTACAATAGAACATTATTTAATAGTAAATAAAACAATAAGAAAAGGGCAATTACTCAGTATTCTGAACTAAAACTGAACCCCGAAGTGTGACAACATTGGGGGATCAGAATCAGACTAGCTACCTGATTTTTGTTTCGATTTTTAGAAGTCAGTTACAACATTTTGGATGTAAATTGATAGTATCAAACTGATAATTGATGAGATGATGACAATATATGTTGCAAAAACTTGACCACATCACAACTTTTCTAACCTGTGTAGATCGACTTATGAAGAAGAAGAAGATCCAGATGTGTCTCTAACCCATTAATCTACAAGTTAATTGTGAAATTCCCCCCTAAAAAATTACCAACTAGATATATAGTACTTTATTTGCGACTCCTTTTTCCCTTTCCTTTTTCCCTGATGTAAAACCTATTTTTAGTTTTTCTTTTTCCTCTGATGGTCACAAATAAAAAATAACGAAAACGGAGACCATGTATATGTCCTTAATTTCGAGATATTCTTAATTATCTTAAAATTTTATTATTATTTGTTTTTTGTTTAACCTCCTGATTTTCGACTAAGTAATACATTGATGTTTCTATGAGGACTCTTGGTGTTTGAGAGGATTGTCGCTGCAAGTGAGTTAAGAATCTTACTAGGTTCTTGGCCCGGGCAAACGGCCCGGGCATATTTGTTTATTAATGAATGAGAAAAATAGAGTAAAAAAAAAGAGGATGAAGATGTTGTAAAAAAGATGGTTCAACAAAATTGATTTTTCTTTGATTTCCACTTTTTCATACATAAAATTTTTAAACCGAATTTCGCAAATCATTTTTTTGGAAAACTTACAAAAGAGATCATAGCTTGCAAATTAGATCTTGCAAGATTTGTTTCGATAAATGTTGAAAAAGTGGCAATTAAATTTTACAACCCATATTTTGGAAAAAGTTACAAAGCAGATCATAACTTGCAAATTAGATTTTTAAACCATGTTTTTAGTAAAGGAAATGGTTCCAAAACACTGTTTATTTTACAGAAAAAATAAACAAATATGTTACTTTCGAATTCTAGTATGACTTGCATAATAGTAATATAAAAAGTACTTGTTTTGGAAGGTTTTGGAAAACTAATCATATATAACTTTTAAATTAAATTTTGCAAAACATGTTTTGGATAATTCGAAAAAATAAATACAACTTGCAAATCTGTCTTTGCAAGGCATGTTTTAGGAATTTCAAATTCTTAAGATAACTTCTAATTAGTTTTTAGAAGCAATGTATATAAGTAATATAGTAAAAAAAATGTACTTCATAAAAATAATTTAATAGTAACTGTAAAAGTGAGAGATCATATGAACATAATTTGCTATTGTCTAGTAAACCATGTATTGGGATAGCGTTGGGGTTTAGTTAAAAAAAAAATGTGAACATAACCTGCAAATTAGATTATGCAAGGCAAGTTTTGGGAGAACTTACACAATATAAACATAATATACAAATCATATTTTGTAAGCCCATATTTTGAGATAATTTACATTATTGAATATAACTTGCAAATTAGATTTTGCTACCAACGTGTTGGGAGAATTTACAGTATAAACATAACTTACAAATTATATTTTGCAAGCGATGTTTTGAGATAATTTACACAAGTGAACATAACTTGTAACTTACATTTTGCAAACCATGTTTTGGAAAAATTTATACAATAAAAACAAAAGAATTAGTGGCCATACTGATGCATTTGGCGGCCATTTTTATCGCCTTCAACCAAGACTAAAAAAAAATTTTAAACCCAAAATTGAAGTAGAGAGGGCGCAAAAGAAAAAAGTAGTAAATTTCAAAACAAACATAATTCTGACCTATATTAAGCAGAGAATGAGAATAATGATATTACTGACGGGTGTATATAGGAGTGGAGTTTAAATAGTAGTCCTAACACGTTTACTTTAAATCAATCAATAAATGCATAATCAATAATTCGTAATAATTTCCTATTTTTTTTAAAAAATTAAATACTTAAGGAAAAAGCGTACACATTCAATCGTAATATCATTCACTAATTATTTTGAATTAATTATAAAAAATCTTTCAAAATCTCGCTCAAATCAAAGTATAAATGAGCAATAATTTGTAATACGTTCTTAATTTATTTAAGCCAAATAAATATGGTTAAAATGATCATATTCGTGCATAATCATCATTTCTTAATCATTTTCCAATCATTTCAAATAAAACTTCTATGTCTTGGTCAAATCATTGAATAAATGATCACTGATTTACGATTCTTTCCTTAAATAATCAAATTCATTCATAAATTGTGATTGTTTCGGTAAATTAGGTTTCATAATTAATGCATTGAACATTTATATACTAAAAACTTTTGGTGGGAAATGGGTTAACAGGAGCTTGACACGTGTACTTTTTTCCACAAACTTATTTTGCTTTAATAATATAATATAATATATATATATATATATTCGCATCTTCGAGATTTGTTATTAAGAAACTAATCATTCGTATCTACTCTTATTGCGACACAAATGAAGTGGTCATAATCAGAAATATCAACTTTAGTTGTTGAGATGAAATTGAACAGCCCTTTTCTTTAAATTTTCCGAAAAGAATCAATCTGTTCACGTTCGAAGAATTAGTTGCGATTGTGCCATTAAATTGCGTAATATGTATTTTTGTCAAAGAAAAAGAAGAAGAAAGGAAAACCTTTCATTCAATAACAGTTGTACTTTATATCAGATCTGATGACGAAAACTAAAATCAAACCACGTACATTTCAAAACGTGTATAATTAAAGAAATAGATTTGAAATAAAATGGTCCTTAATTTTGACCGTATCACTACTATATAGTATAGCATCCAATATTTCACCCCACAAACCGT